GGAAATTAGCCCTCCCCACAAAAACCGACACCAGATCCAGAGGCACACAGAACGCCATCACCAATCAACCACACCAGACCCAAACCCAGACCCTCTCCACAGATAAATTACAGACACCATCCAGTAGCCAAACCATGGTGGCACCTCCGGATGCTGCACCCCCCTGCAATCCCTACACAGATCTGGCTGGCACAGGCACAAAACCACAGCTCGCCCCTATACACGAAGCCAAGCCAGAGCACAACTAAGTGCAGTACAGCCATCTTCTCAGAAAAACTCTTCACAAAGTTCAAGAGGTCAAGACACGAAGGCTTTAGCAACTAATCCACACCTAATGACCCACCTAAGTGGTACTCAGGATATCACTCAAGAAATCACTCAAGATATCCCTCAAGTAATTAAGGAACAAAAGAAGAAAAGGCACACTAGCCTGGGAACTTCCTCTCTGCCCAGAACATTGGAGGCTATACACCACACCCCCTCAACAGTATTTATAGGAACTCAAACACTGAGATCCTGCTCTGTTCCAGTAACAAGAAGCCGAAAGCACCAGCCTGAAGATGACGAGTGAGACCTCGTCGAAACGTCGCCTAGACACCCCAACTTTTACACGGGAAGACACCCGAGGACACCAAAACCTGCATTCCTGTACCCGTGAAAATCTACGAAAGCATATATATATATATATATATATATATATATATATATATATATATATACACACACACACACACACACACACACACACACACACATATATATATATATATATATATATAGTATTTTTGCTCTATAAGACTCACTTTTCCCCTCCTAAAAAGTACGGGGAAATGTGTGTGCGTCTTATTGAGCGAATGCAGGCTGCGCAGCTATCCCAGAAGCCAGAACAGTGAGAGGGATTGCTGCTTTCACTGCGCAGCGATCCCTCTTGTTGTTCTGGCATCTGAAATTCAGAAATTTTTTTTTTCTTGTTTTCCTCTTCCAAAAACTAGGTGCGTCTTATGGTCTGGTGCGTCTTATAGAGCGAAAAAATACGGTATATATATATTTGTGTGTGTGTGTAATATTTCTGCAATGCAGGCAGTTGGAACTGGATGAGCTTGGGACCCCCTCCCAACTATACAATTCTATGATTCCAATCTGGACATTATGGCATGGTTTGTTCCTGGAGATCATGACACCCACACACTATCTCCATCCCGGTACTTGGAATTGGTACGGTCAGCAAACTTGACTGCCTCGCTGCCCACCCCCAGCTCTAGAAAATAAAGTAACTTCTAGGAAATAGGACAAGTGAGATCCTGCGTATGGACCACACTGGGAGTTTGTTAAGGGTGCTGGGAATTGCAGCTCAGTGACAGGTAAATTACAGTTCTTTAAAGCTTTCACTTGTATGGCGCATTGGCAGGCTGCAGGGAATTTGCATAGGATTAAAGTCAAACCTGAGAAACCAATTAAGAATGGTAATAAACAGTATCAGATAGGTAGCCGTGTTGGTCTGCCATAGCCAAAACAAAAAAATCCTTCCAGTAGCACCTTAAAGATCAACTAAGTTAGTTCTTGGTATGAGCTTTCGTGTGCATGCACACTTCTTCAGATACAGATGGGTGATTGACTCAATGGGTATGTGTATCTGAAGAAGTGTGCATGCACACGAAAGCTCATACCAAGAACTAACTTAGTTGGTCTTTAAGGTGCTACTGGAAGGAATTTTTTTGAATAAACAGTATGTAATGGGAAAGCAAAACACCAAAGGACATTATGTCCTTCCAGCCCATCTAGTAAAATGCAAGTTGTAGTAGTAAAATTCTTATTTACAAATCCAAGGCAGAAGAGTTGTGTAGCCTTCAGGTGGGCAAAGGGGAGCCCAGAGCAGCAGGAGGAGGAGGACCCTCTCAATAAGAGCCCCCCCCCCCGCGAGGAACTAACCCTGGCTCACACTGCCCCTTTTATCCACATGGAATTGGACGGGGGCTGCTGCATCTTCCCCATTCCTTGCATGAATCATATGGGTTGACCCACACAAGACAGGAACCTTTATCTCTCTGGGAATTGCAAGGGAGTCGCTGAACTCCCTGCTTCATCAGCCTGGTAAGACCTTAGTCCTGGTTTGCCAAAACATATTTTCCCTTTTCTCCTGCCTCCATGGTTCCTTCCCTGCTGCACATATCAGGGCCTCAGCAGACAGAAGAAACGGAGAGCAGGCAGGCACCTTCCCTGTCCTTTTAAGCCGCCTGCAAAAAACATTATTCTTTTTAGAAAACCTGACCCAGATATCTAGAATGCTGGTTTCTTTTTTTTGTTTTTGGTTTATTTAAATTATTGCAGGTTTTCATTTTTTGCATGTTTAAAGCAGCCATTTTTAAACCATTAATTTTATTGTTTTTTAACCACTCAGTTTTTGTTTTCTTTTTACAATCAAATGGTGTTATAAATTTTATGAAACAAATCAATCAATAAGAATCCCAATCGGCTGACGCAGAAATGACACGAAGATGGTTCAACTGATCCACCCTGACTGCCCTGCCCTGCTTCAAATTCACCACCGTGGAAGAAAACCAATCCTTCTCGCTATGATTACGGGAAAGGAGGCAGCCGGTGGTTCGCCGAGGGTCCTGAATGCGGACCACTTCTGACACCCAAACTGTGGGAAGAAAACCCAACCTTTGTGATGCGGTAGGGGAAAGTTCTGTCCAGGACTGTTTCTCAAGACAAGGCCATTGAGTTGGAGAAATTCCCACCAACAGGACTCTCTTCTGAACCGACCAATTGAGCTGAGAGGTTTTTACAGCGATCACAAAGTTGGCACAGCCCAGCTAAGGACTGCACGGAATGAGCTTTGCAAGAAAAGCTGAAATCACCTTTGACATCCTGCACTTCCTTCATTCTTCGTTCTTCTCTCGCACTTTCTAGGAGAGACGTGGCCAAACAGGCTCAAGCTGGTAAAGGGACCCCTGACCGTTAGGTCCAGTCGTGGGCCGACTCTGGGGTTGTGGCGCTCATCTCACTTTATTGACTGAGGGAGCCGGCATACAGCTTCCGGGTCATGTGGCCAGCAGGACTAAGCCGCTTCTGGCGAACCAGAGCAGTGCACGGAAATGCCGGTTTACCTTCCTGCCGGAGCGGGTACCTATTTATCTACTTGCACGTTGAGGTGCTTTCGAACTGCTAGGTTGGCAGGGAGCAGGGACTGAGCAATGGGAGCTCACCTTGTTGTGGGGATTTGAACCGCCAACCTTCTGATCGGGCAAGTCCTAGGCTCTGTGGTTTAACCTACAGTGCCAACCTTGCGCCTAAACACCACCACTGTTCTCGTGGGAGGAGGGAGATGGAGGAAGAGTCTCCTCCCTCCGCATACTCCATCCCATTCATGGGGTGAGGGCTTCTCTCCTCAAAATACGGACACCCACGATGGATCAGAACCTGCTGCGATCTGATGGGCCAGTTCTTAAGGACAAAGCTCTGAATGGGGGGTGGTCCATGGGGTGCCCTCCAGAGCTCCCATCAGCTCAACCCGGCAAGCCCCTAGATTATCTCCTGTGCAAATGGCCTCTTCTCAACTCAAAGGCACAGTGAACAAACCACCTGCCCTCAATGAATGAAGAAGGATTCATGAGGGGCCCCATAAGGAGCTTTCACGCCAGCCAGCCAGCCAGCCCCCCTCCTCTCCCCAAAGCTCTTTTTCCTGCCCTCTGTGTCTCAAGGGAAGAGCCACCCCACTCGCTAGGAAAGCTCTCGGCTGAAAACCCAGCTAGGCCTGCTTGTGTCTTGGGGTCCCCCCCTTTCCCCCCTCAATCTGTGGAGGCAACCAGGCAGGAGGGATCGCCCTGGGGCTCAGGAACAGCGCTGGTGCCTCTGAGCACACGCAAAGTATTTCTCTCTGCAAAGTAGCCCCCGGAGCACACCTGGGACTGGAGGCAGGGCTTCTGGGCCAGAGCATAAGGTTTCCAGGCAG